TGCCATCATTTCGGATGAAATTAAGACAGGGACAGAGGCGATGATGCGAGCTAGATTGAGTTGTCTAACTCTTGAGATGATTGAAGTCAACATTTACCGACAAAGGTACATTTTGATAATCATTCAATTATCTACATCTCTAAAAACCTACTCTTTCCGTCCCATTATTGTCTAGTTTGAGTTTTTATTTTTAATTTAAATTGTATTAAAAGTGAAATCTCAAATTGGACAATAATTTTAAAACAGAGGAAGTATCTTTTTTTAATGACCCAAAAAGAAAGGAAAAAAAGTGCTCCTTCCCCGCTACTAGAATTATTCTGAATGGTGGTTGTTTGTTAATATTATTTTTGTCCTAAAAAAAATAATTACGTTAAATTTTTAAATTTGTATTATTATTTGATAATAGAGAAAGTAACATCAATGTCTAAGATATGTTATGTTTACTGGTCGACTGTCGAGAGTTTATGATCTTTTTATGTCAGATAGTTAAAATTGCTTACGTTAACTTGGACATAATTAAATTGCGGCGTCCAAAATCATGAACCAGCAAAAATGAGTTTTGACTTTCTGAAATCAGTTTGATTGATTTTGAACCATTAAATTTGATCATGCAGTGTTGGCCAAACACCATTTGTCCCTATAATTGCTGAATAATTGATTGAAAATTAATTGACTATAACTCTCTTGCCGGGCCACGAAAATAACAAATGCCAAATGTGACGCAGTCCATCCACCACCTCCACTGTGAGTGGTCTCGCCGGAGGTGGAGGAGCGGACAGTGGACACATGAGGACTAGGATGGTGTAATGCTACTATAGTTAAAGAGTAAAATGTTGAAATGGTCATTTACATTTGCCCTTACTTGAATTTATGTCCCTTACATTAACATTTTAATATCGTAGTCTCAAACATTATGTTTTCACACTTTTTTTGTCTCATTTCACTGTTTCGACCACATTTTCGTCCAACTCGATGTTTACCGGCCGTTGACTTGCCGGAATCAGGGGTATTTTCATCCTTTCACGTAATTTGACCTTCCATCAAATTAAAATCATTAAAAATATTAAAAAATTCATATTTTAAATTATTTAAATAGTATTTATTAATTTAAAATATTATTATAATATTTTAAAATTTATATTTTTTAAAAAATAGTTTTTTCATTTACCATTTATCTTAGGTGAAAAGTCTACATTTAACCCCGGACCCACAGTAAATTTATAATTTTATCGGGCTACAGTGAAAAATTTAAATTTGAAATTTAAAAAAAATTAAAAAAATTAAATTCGGGTTTTTAACCCTACAAATTATTTAAATTCGGGTTAAAAACCCGAATTTAAATTTAAATTTTATGTTTAACCCGAATTTAAATTTAAATTTTATTTTTTTAAAATTTAAAATTTTCACTGTATTCCGGTAAAATTATAAATTTACTGTGGATCCCAGTTTAAAATGTAGAATAATTACTGTTTACTTTTCACCTAAGCTAAATGGTAAATGAAAAAACTATTTTTTAAAAAATATAAATTTTAAAATATTATAATAATATTTTAAATTAATAAATACTATTTAAATAATTTAAAATATGAATTTTTTAATATTTTTAATGATTTTAATTTGATGGAAGGTCAAATTACGTGAAAGGATGAAAATACCCCTGACCTCGGCAAGTCAACGGCCCGGTCAACATCGAGTTGGACGGAAATGATGTGGTCGAAACAGTAAAATAGGACCAAATAAGTGTGAACACATAATGTTTGGGACTACGATATTAAAATGTTAATGTAAGGGACATAAATTCAAGTAAGGGCAAATGTAAGGGACCATTTCAACATTTTATTCATAGTTAAATTATCTTTTTACTTTGTTTTAATCAGTAATTATCAGTAACTTAGTGACTTAGTAGTTATCAAGTAGTGGATTAGTGTGTTAGTTAATAGAGTCATGGAGTTAGTGGAAGATAATCTTCCCTCCTTTCTAGTTATTGAGTAGAGTATAAATATGTAACTTCAATCCTATTAACTTAAGAAGAAGAAATCAAATGAAAAGTTTAGTTTATTCAAGTCTCTTCTCTCTCTTTAATTATAGAGTTCTAATCCCGACTCGAACAGGGATATATCATTACAAATGGCGGAGTGATGAAAACTCTCAAAGCTTCGATTAATTAATATGGATGGGAGCCCACAAAGCATTTCCATAATTCAATCAGAGTGAAAACCTACATTTTCCAGGAATATATATTTATATACAATCTCTGTATCAAAATAATAATTCACATTGAAATAGTAAATAAATAATCCACTAAAATGAAAACTCAATGTTGATATTTTTTTTTTGGAAATAGAAAAAGTATAATTTTGTAAAAACATTACAAATCTTTAAACCCAATATTGATTATTTTTGTGTGACTAAAGTAAAATAATAATTTTGTAAAAAAGTGGAAAGAAGCTCTACAATGATCATTTTGCAGTGGAATTGCAATACGGGAAAGTGTCACCTTTCAAACCATTCGTTACCTTAAACCAAACACCCTAGATGCATCACTGTCTGACACTTGTGTTTTCTTCCTTCTTGTCATCATTTAATTCTAGGAGTAATATATTTTTTTAAAAAAAAAAGAAATAAAACACTCTGGAATTATTTTCCCTGGCCATTGGGTTCAACGAATTAATTAAATATAAGAACAAGCAAACCGCAATGATGTTTCATGTTCGAAAAGAAAATGATATTCGTGAGTTTCATTGTTGTTGCATCCCAATCATCCTTTGGGTTGTTTGATCAAAGGGAACAAACAAATTGAGGTTATTGTAATGTTTACCCAATTTTAAAGAGTGGCATCCAACTAAGTTATTAGTGTGATTTTTATTTACTTTTTGAACAATCTAGATTTTTTAAAAAAAATAAAAAATAAAATTAGATGGCCCAGCGAGAATCGAACCCTTGACCTCCTGATAATAATAATTTCTCATCCTAATTCCCTTACTACTCCACCCAGCCCTCCCACCCTAACAATCTAGATGTTAGCATTGTCATCACAAGGTCGAACATATCACCCTCCCACCCTAACAATCTAGATGTTAGCATTGTCATCACAAGGCCGAACATATCACGTTTCTACATATCAGTTACTTTTTTTTCTGTATTAGTTTCATGTTACTCATAGTATAATTATATTATCTTAATTTGTTTCCAATAATAAATTTAATATGAATGTGTCAAAATTACTTTTGTATGCTTCAACCAAGTCAGCTCGAATCCGGATTAGTTGGAACAATGACTTCGGACATCGGGTGCGTCATATACCAAAAAAAAAAAAACGGTTTCAACCAAAAGAATTTCAAATTTGTGTAACCCAAACAAAATGTAGTAGGAGGCAACAAAAGTACGAAGAAACCATGATAAAAATCCTTATCCTGGTGTTGGATCGGATGGAGGATGTGGAGTCTGGGATATGCTTTATTTCTGAAGCAAAATATTCGGTTACTGATGATACCATAAAAGACCTGCGGTATATAATGCCTAATGCCTATGCTGAACCAGAAGAAAAGTTCAAAAAAGAAGTACAGAAAAAAAAAAAAATCAAAAAACCAAATTCCAGTGGGATTGTCAGACAGGGACCATTGGGCTACAAATTTAAGGAGTGATCTGGATGTATGATCACCCCTTTTCCAAAGATGGGCGTACAATGCAAATGGTTAACGTTGTAGAAACCTTAACCCAGTGTTGTTTATCTAAATTTCAATCCTTCCTACCAAAATCAAAACTTGGTGGGTGGGTTGGGTTGAAACTCTGATCCCAAAAAACCCTGATGGGGTGAGTGCATGATTGATTTCGTCCTCTGTTTTGTGTTCTTTCTTCTGCCCTCTCTGTCCTGGTGCATTATTATTTAAGAAGGGATTGAAAATTTCCAGTTATGGCGATTATGGCAGAAGCTATATAAATAAGGACCACCCTAGAATAAGCCCTATAATTACAATGTGTTTCGATTTTTTCAGAGGGGATTGGAATAGAGTGGTCCTCTCCTCTGTCTCCAAATTTCGTATTTGTTACACACATATTTGGTCATTGAGAATCGTTGCTTAGGTAAAATGTGATTCTCTGCCACCAGATTGTCCCACCTCCACCACCACCTTGATCAAGAAATTCATTCATTGTATTTGTACCCTCTTTTTTTCTTACAATTTTCTTTCCCTTTGTATCGGTGACACCATTCATCACCGTCTTTATTTTTGGCTTTCCATAAACTCTATACAAACCCAAAAACCACTTCCACTGATGCATGCATTTAGTACTACTGGCTCCTTCCTTTTCTGCAATTGAATAAACCCATGATTTTGTAATGAAATAGATGCATTTTTTGTGCAGTTGTCCGTTTCCATGTTAAAAGACATTTGAGAGGTAACTCGCAAAAACCTGGAAATTGCGAAAGAGAAACTAACTTACATGAGAGTGTCTTTTGTAAAAATCTCTCCATCATCATCAAGTTAAAAAAAGGACAATCATTCGAGAAAGAATGGGTTTCGGTTGGACTATGGCACGTGAGACCACATGATGAAATTGACATCGGAAAATGGACCACATCAGAGTTGCTTTTGCTCTTACATATTGTGAGGAGCCCAAAATTAATGTGAAGTGGACCTCATTTTCTAGATTTTTAGCCCAGTGAAGCGATCCAGTCCCAACTACTACTAATTGGTCCATGTATACAGATTGTATCTTTATCTTACAGTTTTCCTGATTTCTGTGTGAGTAGAATGAGCGCCTCGTTTATTAGTTTCTTATTCAAAAGAATATTAAATTATAAGAACAAATGTTCCCTATATATGACTCAGATTAATAAGAACATAAGTGCAGAGGGAAATACAATGTTCTTAGAAATGTAGAACTTTAACATGAAAGAAGCTGAAAGTTAAAATGGATGTGTTTTAACACTACTTTCTAAGAGTAGGCTGGTTCAAACCAACAACAATATAACTGTTCTTTCGATCCATCATAATACATCAACGAGAGTAAAATACGATTGAATCTTGATAAAATCTCGGAAGGTAGATCATGTTCCCCGCTCGAGAAGTTTCAACCTCTCTAATAACACTTGACATGGTAGATAAATATAAATTGTTATTCTTCAAGTATTTCACTTCCTCCCATTCCCAAGCCATCATTCTCGACCGATTCAATTTGAAAACTTTCAACCACGTAAAAAATTTTCCTACCGCCACTGATAGAACATCTCTGCCACATCCCACTAGAAAGATTTGCTCTAGAGATGAACTCTCGAATGGAAGTTGAAGATCATGCCTTGAAAATACAAAATCTCCAGAACTGTTCAAGCTAAAAACTACAAGGCGTCCATTTTCACCCTGGATGTAGAAGGAACCATCCACGAAAACCGCATAAACATTGGATTGCTCCGCAGATGATATGTATGCACCTTGTTCTTCTCGGATGATAGCTCCTTCAACCCAATTGCACATCATATCATCTCCCAATTAAATGGAATAAAAAGATAATGCCCAAGGTGATATCGCATAGACAGTGCAATTTGAGGAGGCAGGGGAAGAAGATAAGAAAAAATGAATCATGAGTTCAGGCAAGTTGGGTAAACATATGGTAGACTTTGTTAAGGAATTGTAAAACTTTAGAGCAAGTATACTGTAGCCTATTTCCTGACAGAAAACATGTTTAGCCAGTAACAACCAACCATATGCAGAGTAGGCAATCTTGAAATCTTCCTCAGAGGATTTAACTTCAGGCATCGTAACGTAGTAGGCGTTCTGAGTAACAGAATCTAGCATGGAGCTAATACCTTCGACCACAGAAGGAACCATTAGTAAGAGAGGACATGATAAGGGATCAAAATTAACAGCCCGGCTTGATGCTCTTCTTTTCTACTCGCTCGTAGGAATCACTGAACGACATAATCTACTGACAACTTGAAAGTTAAAGTAATCAAGTGGGTTGGTCAGATCCGGGGTAGACTATCTTCCTGAATACATCAACAGGAAGATCATCCAACCTTGACGAACAAGGAACGCGAACTTCTCCTCTCCCACCTTGAGCTTCCTTCTTGTTAAAAAGAATCACCTTTTCTGTAGTTTCCCTGGCGGCGAATGAGAGCCGGTGTTAATCATGGTTGTTGATGTTGGACGCATTATGGAGATAATCATACGTAGCTTTTGCCAGGGCTTGAATATCTGGGATAAGAATCCAAAGCGGTGGTGATGATTACAAAGACGTATCTTTTGGAATCTTCAAAAAAGAAACCGAATAGATTTGTGTTCAATGTGGTAGGTGTGCAATGTGGGTGGATCACCTGCTCCTGGATGATTAGGAATCCAGTATACCCGATTCCCGAGATTGTCCGAGTCAGGTGATGAAATCGGGCAAGCCATGGCTTGTGAGTTGTCAACAATTCCACCAATTTAAGTTAATAACAACCATAGAATTTGCATTAATTGAAAAAAATAATAAGAAAATTTTTATAGACTACCTGTAACTATTTAAGGTATATAATTTTAATTAGAAATCTTCTCCTAATCTCTCTCCATCTTTCTTTTTCCCTCTCTTTCGCTAGCTGAACTTTTTTTTTTTTTTTGTACCAATGCAATTTCATATTCTTGACAAAAAAATTGATGAAAATTGATTATTTTATTTTAATGGATCATGTACCTTAATTTGTTGGTTGTTGTTTTTGATGTTTACAAAACCAAACTATTTTCTTCTTTACTTCCAGGAAATTTTTAGAGATTTTAGAATAAGGAAAAATGGAAGAAGATGAACCGATTTTAGTAAATGAAAATACTGTAATATTTAAGAAATTTAAAAGTTAAAAATTAAACAAAAATAAATCAAAAGGTGCGAACATCTTTTTTAATTTTTCTTTTGCAATTACCAACAATGTAATTTATTTAGGTGAGCAATGTACTTTATTTTTGTTTAAATTTTTTTAATATTTTCATTATCATTAACAGGTAAATGGTAGAGATAATGGGCACAAATTTCTGCACTAAATCTCAGCTTATTTAAAAATAGAATTTGTCCATTGTCAAATTTAAGTGTGCAATGTTTTGTAACGAATGGCACACAAATATTTATATAGATTGTAAAACTTCTTTCGTTGAGAGTGCAATATATTGTAACAAAGGTTCAATTCCTAGTTATGTAGTACTGTACAATAATTTTTTTTTTATAAATATACATTTTTTTTTATATATTTATGACTATACTAAAATTAATTCTAATTATTGATGATGTGCAAAAATAGCTTATATAGTAGCTAGTGCGATTTTTTAATGAGATGTGCAATCTATTTTATTATATGTGAAATAACGTACATACAAATATGTCATGTTTAAAAATATATTATTATGTTAAAAAATTTCAAAAAATTAGCAAATAAAATTCTATTATTCAAATAATACGTTAATACTCGCTCAATAAGGCTTACAAGAAAATTCTACATAAAAAAATAAAATTACTAAATAAAACTTATATAAGAAATGGTGCAATGCTTTTTTAATCCAATATGCAATTATGTATAAATATTAGTGTAATTTCTAATGAGCAAATGCACAATCACAGATATATTTTTTTTGCAATGTAAAAAGAAAATAAGAAAGTTTAATTCAGAATTATGGAAAGTTTTAGTATAATACAATTATTTAAAAGTGAATGTGCGATATGTTTTACTTGAATATGCAATTGCATCATCAAAAGTGCATTGCTTAGATATCTATAATTAACTTACTAATAAAAGGAAACAAAATATGGTGCAATTAATTATTAATGAATTACGTGCAATATTTTACAAACTAATGTGCAATCATATTACAAACTAATGTGCAATCATATATAAGTATTCGTGCAACACATATAATGAAAAAAGGAAACTCAATTATTAATTAATGATAATTTTGTTATTTTAAAGGGGTTGGATTTTTTCAGCCACACCCAAATTAGTACTTGAAGCCACCAATTTTGAAAAATTTCCTTTCTGCCCCTGCCACTCGGACCGAACCGAACAAGTCATTCGGTCGGATTCACGTGAGAACGGACAAATTATTAATTTTTATTTTAATGTTAGTTTATTCGCAGTATCGTTACATGTTGAATACCTCGTACTTTAAATATTATTAACAATATTTATACTTTAGTGCTTAAACTCTCGATTTTATATTTACTTGAAAATAAACAAGTAATTAATTTTTACTTGAAAATAAATTTAAGATTATTTGTTAAGTTAATTTATTTAAATTGATATTAAAATATAAATTTTACTTTAATCATTATTTTAAAGATAATTTTTAGTTAAAATAATAATTATACCTTTATAATGAAAAATAATAATTGTACTACAAAAATTGTGACAAACATGTGCAAATAGATTAACTATTTTTTGTACTACAAAGATTGGTGATACTTAATGTACCTCAAATAATAAATTATTAATAAATTTAATGACCTAAAAACTAGATTAACTAATTACAACAAAAAAATTTAAAAATTAAAAAAATAGCAATGAATCCGATTGATATCATTGCGTGTCCCGGGTTAAACCAGGACGGGCAATGAACGCGTTCGGGCGAACAAGAGGACGCGTTCTTTGTTCGTCCCCGGTTAACCCGTGGACCGCCCGGTCGGTCAATTTTTTTAAAAAAATTTTCAATTTTTTTATTTTCTTTCTAGTCATTTATTTGATTTGAAAAAATTATAAAGGTAAAATAGTCCAATTTTAAAATATGTGACTTCAAGTAGTAAAGGTGGTAACTTTGAAAATAAATACCCATTTCAAATATTGAAATTTTCCTAAATTATTCAATTTTTTAAATTTTGGTAAGTTTACCTGCTTAGCAGGTCACAAAAAAAAATTATTAGGAAAATTTAATATTATATTGATGAGTCACTTTCCTATTGATTAGATTTTAACGGGATCAAACCCTCAAAATAAGCAACGGGACCTTAAAATTTTCTATAAAAAATTGCCAAATTCCAAACTTCATGTTTTGTTTCCTTCCAACACCCTGAAAAGAAAATAAAAATTCGAAGGTTTCTTTTGTTGGTTTTCCCGTAAGTAAAACACACACAAGATAATCAACGTTTCTTAACTTATTTCATTATCAAGACCAGCTTAATGATCAGTAACATGATAATCAGCTCAAGATAGTCAGCTTATTTCATTATCAACGTCTCTTAGTACTGAAGATGAAGTAATTGCAGTAACATGATGATTTGTTGTTGCAACATACTGTTTCACAGTGGTAAATGATCAGGTAGCATTCATTGTAATTAGTTGTAAAATTTAGTTAATAGCGGAGTAATAATGACGTGGCAGAGTATAAATTCCTAGTTGGTTAGCAGAAGTAGAGCTAAAGACAACATGATTAGATGGAATATGTTTCGTTGCAATCTGTTCTTCTACACTGTTTTTAAACTTCGGTTAGGCACATTCAAGTTGGCCTATGTGCTAGCAATGGGGAAGTTAACAGAATGGCCTTTTGTTGATTCCAAATCAGACCAAAGGATTTCAAAAAGGTTGGAAGTTGAAAGAGGTCAGACAAAATGGTGGGTTGGGTATTCATGTTCATATCCGTTGTAATCATAGTACAATCTTTCTCCTTTCCGTATGTCTCGACTTGCAATCAGCAACACCCTACACTCTCCATTCACGTTGAATCTCACACATTTTACGTTCTGCTTCTTCTTCCCATCCCTGCAACAAACAGAAAAGCAACGATGCTGTTGTCAACAAAGGCAATCAGGCATTGTTATACATACACAAATGACAACTGAGCCCCACTATGTAAGATCAATTATCAAGATCACGTGTCAATTTCGTGCTTCGTCACACTCCATGTCTTAATTTAAAATAAGAAATGGTACCACACAGTATACATGACTCGCATAAATTAAAACAAAAAAAGGAAAAAAAGAAAACAGAAATACAGGAAGAGAGGCTTACGATGAATGGTTGTTGATGCCATTTATAAAACGAGCTATGTTACTACGCTTGTCTGGACAGATGACGAGGGATTTTGATGGATCAGCAGCACAAAGAAGGGTCATCATGCTATCGCCATCATCATCTTCTCGGTTCTTCAAATAATCAACATCACCAACATACTCTGTAATTATTGTCAAATCCTTTATGAATCTATCAGCTTCTACTGTGAATCTGTTAAAGCACAATGTTGAATAAGCAACATGACCCTGTTAATAATAAAAATGCACCAAACCTTGGTTCTGTAACCTGATACAACAGAAGCTAAATAGTTCCTCTACTCACCCTTCTACAGAATCATAAATAACCATGAGCGGAGGGCATTCGCCTCTTTCCATCATTTGCTTGCACAAATTCAAAGTCTCAGCATCATCCTTTGATATAATCTGCAATATTTTTATGAAATATGTCAAGGCTCACATTAGCTTAAAGAGATGATGCATCTCTCCAATGATTAAAAAAAAAAATCCAAAACCGTACTTTGCTTCCACAATTATGAAATCGAGGTAATGACAAATGTCTTCCCACCACATCTCTAAAAGAAAGTTTTTAGTTTCTAAATTCAAAAGAAGACGTTTTCAGCTCCTAACATTTCATTGCACAGGATCTTCAGTTTTTATCCTCAGACTCCAGTTGAAGATTTTTAGTAGCTCACCTTTTCGTTATTATCCCTTCAAAGTTGAAACAACATACAGAATCCAACTCAAGATAGATATGTGAAATCCTAGCCATTCAAACCGACAGGAAAGGATACAAAAGAATCTTTTGCAAGTCGCAGACCCAAATCATTCATAGTTTTAGGTTCAAAAAGATCCTAGTGATCGATGGAAGAAATTCATACCTGCATTCCTTCTCGTTCAAGTGCAGCACGATTAGCTGATCTTGGGGCCATTGTAGGCAGGTAAGTGAGCTTATTACTGAATTCAGTTCTGGTTGCTGTCAATGCGGTTGCCAGTGATGCCATTTGCTCCAACCTCCGAGTTGGATCTTCACTGGGATTGAATGGCAACAACTTTCTACTCTTTTTGGACACAATCAAGCAACTCCCCGAGCGTTTTCTTCTCCTCTTCCCGTCTAAACCAAAACATTTTCTGACATTTCAAGTACTACTAAATAGACCATTGTAGCCAGGAGTAATAAAAGGATCTTAGAAAGGCTTTAGATTTCATTTTCACCTTGAATAATTTTATCACCGGACAATGAAGACCTCTGAATTCGGAAGAAATCTACAATTTTGGTTTGTACAAGAGGAAAACCTGCACAAAACAGACAAAATACAATTGCCTTGTTACATGCTTTTCCAGATCAAAGTCCAAAGTAGAAGATGGTCAGATATGATTCACATTTGACATCTTAAATCCCAGAAATAACTTCATCAAACTTGTGAAATAGAAGAAGTCTCAGCAATGTGAATGGCAAAATTAAATAGCAAGCATTACGGAGCAAAAGTTGACTGAGACTAAAAAATCCCACTTTGTCCTAGTTCAAGAATAATGAAACTTCGTTGACACGTTTAATCAAATTTTTCTATGGGAATAAATTTCAAACACAAACAACAAGGAAATTGGATTAATTCTCTCAGCCAAAATACTTCATTCAATTTCTGTAAAATGATAAATGGATTTGGCCCTAATTCGTAAATTGCAATGTTGCAATAATCATCAGATCCTAAATGGCCTAATTACCAGTGAAATAGAAGGAACAAAACACGGATATTTACATGGCTTCAATATGGTAAAAATCTGAATATGCTTCAAAAAGGCCTGATCCAACCTCGAAATCACTCGACCGTTTATCCATTAATAATAAATCGCTAGCTCAACAAGAATTAGCAGATTCTTTCCGTAATCCAACACAAAAAACCTTACAAGAAGAGCCCAAAAGAAAAAAAAATTCATAAAAAGAGAGAGAGGAGCAGGAGTATATACTTGTGATTTTACTGTGATTGGAGCAAGAGGGGCAGAACCAAGAGCCATTAGGTACGGATGGAAGGATAGGCCTGAGGCAGAAAATGTGAAACCCGCGATCACATCCGTCGCACAAGAGAAGCTGATTATCATCCTCACCCGACCCGCATTTCTGGCACCGGACGTCGTCGTAATCTGGTTCATTTTCTTCCGATTTGGATTCCATTCTGCTTCGGGTTCTTCTTATGGGTTCTGAGGAAACGGGTTCCGGAGCTTGGGTTCTTTTGCGCAGCAGCATTCTGGTCAAAGGAACCTTAGAGGTGATGTCGGTCATTGTAATGGGAGTTGGGAGTGAGGACTGAGGAATGGGAAAGAAGCTGGTTGGATTGAACGAAAACAGTATGTAAGCCGGATGAGGGGGTTTTGGCGGGTTTTCTTTTGTCTTCTTCCTGGTTTGGCGGGTTTTTTTCCTTCCGTAGCGCCAACAATGACGTTGTCCCGCCCGGTGGAAATGAACCGGTCTGAAGTAGAGTATGGGCTTATGTTTAGTGTTTACAACGTGGTAGTGGGTTCTTCTGACGTGGAACTAGGCTGCGTTTGGGCCTGAAACATGGTACTTGGGCCTAAAGGCCCTCCACAGATGGATATGAAGGAGTAGTTTTCCCAAGATATTTGATTTGTCCTAAATTTTATCTAGTATATTTTCTTTAATTAAAAAAAAAAAGCTTAAATTTTTTTAATAATTAAAAAAACTCAATGGATGTGTTAATGTATTTTTAAATATTTTTTTCGATCAAAAAAACATATTAGCTGAAATTTACTGACAATCAAAATGCTGGAGGAGCAGACGATAAAGTGCTTCACTGCCTTGAAATATTCTCTTCTCTCCTGAGTTTTTTTTGTAGACACAACCTTAAATTTTTGGTTGTCACATGCCATGTTTTTGTGTCCCAATTTGAACGGAAATGTAAATTTGACCTTCTTCTTTGGTATATTTGTATTTCGGATTCTTTTTATTTGTTTACTGTTTGGGTTGCAGAGCTAGAAAAGGAAAAGTAATGAGCCTAGGTAGCAGGCAAATGATGTTTTCAGATACAGCTTTCAAGAGTATCGAGATGCAACCAGACATTCTTTTTCTTTTTCGCTTTCATATATTCATGTTGTTGGTCTCAAAAATACGTATGTCCGATTACTTCACGTCACACACCCTTGCACTTTGTGCTTTTATATTTTTTTTTACAGCTGCCAATTATTAAAGTCACACTCCACTATGCAAGTTCTCACCCATATATAAGCATGAATTCCACTCGACATGCTTAGTTAGATATTGAGACTCTTTGTTAGCTAGCTCTATATCTATTGGCTGGCTACTAATCTTACAGTATTACTACTGTTCATTTACTGAAGTACGTCGATTTCAACATTAATATCCAGTGATCAGTAGTGTTGAGCTTCTTAGACAGAAAACTTTTGGGATGGGGAAGATTGGAGGGGGTTCATGGTTGAGAAAAGTTAAAAGGGCTTTCGGATCTCCTGCTAAAGCCAAAGATGGAGAGAACAGCTGTAAGAGAAGAGAAGAGGCAGAGGAAGAAGAAGAACAAAAGGTAAAATGCATATAAAACAAAAATGCTGTTAATTTAGTAGCTCAGGTGATCAGTTACTTCAATTCGGCGGGTCAACGAATTAGAGTTGAAAGTTTGATTGAAACTCTGCCTTGTTAATATGTTTCTTGCAGAAGAGGGGGAAAAGGAGATGGATATTTGGGAAGCAGCAGTTATCATGCGAAACAACGATGCACCACAACGAAGCAAGACCTGGTACTACTACTAGTACTACTATAGTACCCATATTTGCCCAAAATGAAGAAAGCAGTAACTTGTTTGAAGGAAGGAGGACATTGAAGGATGTCATTTCTGACCAACAATGTTCATCATCATCAGCTTCTGCTCTCGCATTGGCAATGGCAACAAAAATGGCCGCCGAGGCAGCAGCTGTGACTGCTCAGGCAGCCGCGGAGATCATTAGGCTTGCGAGACCTGATGCGTTTCGAGGTACAGGACAGGAGGAGAAACAACACCGTGCTGCGGTCAAAATTCAAACAGCCTTCAGAGGGTATTTGGTAATACTATTAATCATCAATTAGTGCATGTACAGTTCATTCCTTGTAATTATATTAGTGATGAACCGGGTAACACGAAATATGTCAATGAACATCTTCACAATTCCCCGTTGTCAGTGGTTATGGTTATTTGTAAATTTTTGTTTAGGCAAGGAGAGCTCTTCGGGCACTGAAGGGGCTAGTAAAGCTGCAAGCCTTAGTGAGAGGACACAATGTGAGAAAACGAGCCAAAATGACACTTCAATGCATGCAGTCTCTCATTCGTCTGCAAGATCAAGCCTGTGACCAGAGAAAGAGGCTCTCCCTTGAAGGATGTACCAACATCAGCGTAATAATGGTACCCTGATAATAACAAATCCAATTTGATTTTCCGAACAGTTTAAGATTCCTATTATTGTTTCCATTGGTTAATTAAGGTTGTCTTTTGAGGGAAATTTCTTAGCTGACCATGGAAGTGATTGACTTTAAATGGTTGCAGTCCGGAAAATCATACAGTTCAGACACTGATTACTACTATGATGATGATCATGACCAATACATACCAAAATCACAGCATAATGTGAAGATCTATCAGCACCAGCTTCAGATGCCAAAACATTTGGCTTCCAAACCGCCCCAGATGTCTCTCTATCAAGCATTCTCTCAATCTGATCATCAGGTATTCTTTACTTCCAAACATCTCCAAATGTGAATGAATTCTTATATGCTGCAATCCAGTCAGCTAAAAACTAGTTTCCGTGTAAAAAACACTGGTCAAAACAAATAGATGTGGAAAGAAGGCGAATTACAAAATTCACACTGCAAAAAGTATGAAGAACAAAAGCAGCAAGAGAAAGATATCACCAAAAGGAGAGCCTCAATTGACCATAAAGAGTCCATAAAAATTGTGGAAATCGACACAATCCAACCTCACACTTGTAGCAGCACATCACAATTACCAGCTCAGAACCATCTCCAGGAATATCATCGTCAACCCGGAAGAAGAAGGTCCTCCGGCGCCTCATACAACACCGTGGTTTCTTCTTCTTCCACTGCCTCTTCTCCTCTTCATCACAGGTTCCAAGACTTATCCATTCAACAACACCCACCGTTGTTCTCACCAGGCAGACTAAAACCCGTCGAAACGCCGGCGGGCAGAGCAACAAGTGATTCCTCTGGCTGTAATAACTCTGTTCCGAAACCTCAACCGGCATACATGGCAGCCACAGTATCAGCACATGCTCGAGCACGGTCACTCAGCACCCCTAGGCAAAAGGGTTTAGCTCAGGGTGAAAAGAAAGGGATGATGGCCAAGAAGCGTTTATCTTTCTCCGGGGAAGAAGACGCATTGGCGGCCCACAGTGATGGGGAATTAATAAGCAGGAGGGTCAACTGTCTGCTTGAGAATTCGTTCCAGAGCCCTGCCCGCCGCCTGCAGAAACAGAGCTGTTTTCAAGGGAAAAATGATCGTAATCACAATGCATTTCCCCGGTGAAAGAAACAAACATCTTTGTAAGAGTCGGCTCATTAATTGGGATTCTTTCATCAGGAATTTCTTTCTACCAAATGAAACTTGGAGAACAGAGAGGAATGTGACTCAGATAGTATAATAATGGGCTTTAGGCCTCATATTATTCAGGGCTTCGTATTTTCAGAATTTTATTTACTATAGTTATTTTCTTGCATTATTTTATAATAATTGTTGAAATGATAATTAAAAAACTATCATTACATAAATATTTTGACATGCAAAGTATCTTATATTTTAATTATCTCATAAAATTATTTGTACCGAAATTTTAAAATATTTTATTAAAGATTTATTTATCTATGTCCGACTACTGAAGCCCCAAATTTACATTTTGGTTGAGACTTCAACATGCGTTAAGCCTGCTCTGATAATTAGTCGCCGGTTTATGGATTTGTAGTTCAACCATGGAAGAATAATTGATAGAGAGATGCACGTTTCCTTGATCTTTTTGTTCGACGAAATCTATTTTTCACATCCAAAGCACAAATAACCAAAAAAAAAGGGAAAAATAACAAAAATTTTAAGAAACGGAAATTGTTGAGAGTGGGATTTGAACCCACGCCCTTTCGGACCAGAACCTTAATCTGGCGCCTTAGACCAACTCGGCCATCTCAACATTGTGACAACAATTGAACCTGTATCTTTTTTATATGAAACTAAAAAAAGATTATAAATGCCAACAAAAAAAAAATGATATATAATTAACATGTAATCACTCGGATCAATGTGTGCGATATAAATGATAGAACAGTGGCTATAGGATGGAGCTCTCCCAAGTCCCGACACCAAAATGAGGATCAAACCACAAGTTTTTTTTTTTTTTTAATACGAAGGAAGCCATAAGCTTAGGTATAAAACATCCCTAAGAAGAAGGTGATGATAAGCTACTTTTATCTTGGTCTAAATACTCCCTAATTGTAGACGGAAGCGTCGACAAAATATGACGCTCCTAAGGGCAATCCAAGGCAAATTTTGCTATTGCGTCCGCAATGGCATTATTTGGACGTCGCGTATGCCGAATCGAAACTTGCCAACTACGGCTCAAGAGGCTTTTAACTCTCGGAAACACGTTGCTATTTACAAAAGAGAAGTTTTCATTTAACAAAAACACAACGGTCTCAATAGAGTCTACTTCTAACAAGTTTGCAAGTTGAATATCCATGGGCAGAGCCACTATCGGATTTCGGCTAAACATTAAACGAGTTTGTGTTTTGACGGCCCACAACTTGCTGTGCACAACTCATTGTTAGCAATATCACCTAAAGTACCCAATTCCAACATATCTCATTCGCACGAATACAGCAGTAAGGGGGCGCCGCAGGAATCCTTCGTCACCCAGTTTGGGTTTATCAGGTAAACTTGATAAGTGAAACTATACATACATGTTATTAGCTCCAAAGTTGAGACAACAAACAACACAATCTTTTTGAGATAGAAATAGTAAGAAAGTCTTTCGGGAACAAATTTCCAAACATAATGCATACTGGATAGAACTTCAACAAACTTCCAAAACTATTCTCAACTCTTAAACTAGAGCGCTTCAATGGATACGATACACCATCTGCTGTACAACATGAAAACCACAGTGAGTTGTCCAAATAAAACTCGAGGGGGACGAAAAAGGCAACACCCAGCAATAAAAAATATTGAGATGCGCAAAGCAAGAAACAAAAAAGTGGGAACATATTGCAATATTGTCTAATTTTCCTTTAGTTTAGCCACTGAAAAGCAATGAGGTCTGGTGTCGTGGCGTTTGAAGCCCCTAGAGTCGGGCTGTTATCGACGCTGCTGTCTGAGTGTGAAAACAAAGCCCTGTGGAGAATCCCAGTTGGCGATGAGACACTAGTTGCTGGAGGACTGATTGAATCCCCATTACCTGTATATGGCGAAGCAGGATTAGACCCAACCGGGATGGAACTACTTGGTCCCAAAACCTCCGCCAATGGTCCGCCTGAATGGAAAGACGGCCAAGAAACAGGGGAACATCTTGAAACCCCAACGGACCCTATCCCCGGGGCATCAAGGGCCATCGACAACGTTAAACTGTGATCCGAATAAGGCCATGGATTTTGCTGATCAGAAGATGGCATCCTGGACTCCTGATCATTTGACCATGCGTCAATGAACCCTCTGGTGGGATCATTTCCTTGCTGGCCCTCAAAATTGTTCAGAAGTAAATGAGACTGATTATGATCAATCTGGTTATAATGGAGATTTCCACGGCCAAAATCATCAGTACTACCGTACGAAAACAAGTTCAAGGGTTCTTCCACCTCATACCCACCCTGTTGTTGAAGAACAGTGTTTAATGCCTTTGTGTCGACTCCAGGGGCATTCATCCCATGTTTGCTGTCCATCAAATGCAGCCACTGCTGCTGCTCTGCTGACCAGTCGAATGCCCTTCACAAACAAAGACACATAAAACTGATCATCACGAAACCACAGCCAGGATACTTAATCAGAAAATGCTACAAATCAATAGTTAGTCAAGAACATATCAATTCTTGGTTGTAAGAGTGGTAGTAATATAATTTCATAAAATTTGCCAGCAAGAAATTCCCACATAAGTGGCTATCCAAAACATGTACGAATTAGCAAACAAAAAAATGGCTATACTAGACATAACCCCCCCCCCCAAAAAAAAAAAAAGAAAAACATTCATCCACAGCTAACCAACCAAGTAACCGGCCATTTACCAACCTCTTTCGTTGATTCAAGGTGTTCTGTTCCTCGAGTAACAGAGCTTCCTCTCCCTTCTTAATCGGCTGATCACTACTGCAACCACTAACACCACCACAGCCACTGCCCCCGATATTAGTAGTTTGAAGGCGGGACTTCTTGCTGTTATGATTGTTCGCCACAGCAGCTATGGCAATACCATTATTGTTTTGCCCTGGCGACGATGAGGTTTGAAGTTGTTGTTCCACATGCTTTCTTGAACGGGGACGGCCTCGGTGCAGGTGTCTCTCGCAATATTTTTGATGAGGAGCCACATCTCTTGAGCATCTCCATTTCTTGCCGTCCGTTCTCTTGCATCTCCCAGGCTCCATATCTTTATTCATAGTATTATAACCACTATATCGCAAGTACGCCCCATCAGCATTCCCTACAAAATCCCAATTTCATGTTCATTCAATATGCAACAATCAGAGAGAAAAGATGATTTATGATTCAGGAAAAAAAAAAACAGTAATTAAAAACAAAATGAACTATTACAAGAAGGGAGAGATGGATCTCGTGAGAAGAGAAGATTTGGAGGCACTGGTACAGATGCAGTCATGTACTTGTAGATCATGGCTTGTCTCTCCAGCTCCTTCCACTGGGCTGGCGTAAATGGCAATCCTAGATTTGCAGCCAATCCTCCGCCTGCGATTAATTGTCACAGGAACGAGCCAAAAAAGAAAAAAGAAAAAAAAAAAACCACATCAAAACCATGCTCAGTGTCAAGAGATTAAAAATAAACCAACAAACTTCTTATCAAATTTAGGACTGAAGATGATTATTGGGAAAGGGGAAAGATGGGTAAAAGGTTTATAGGGTCACAGAATACTTTTTATTAAAATGAAAATGACATAAGTAGTATATTAATCCATCAGCACGAAATACAAGATCTACACAGTGATAATGATAAATGATCAAATCAACTTTTAAGCAACTTAAACACTTAATTAAAGGATTGACTTTGTACAACAATTGAAAAATAGCTGGTGAGTAAAGTGTTTACCTGAGGGTTTAAAGGCGGCGGCGAAAGTGTTGGTGTTGGTAAGGAAAATGTCAAACGGCGGCAAACTATTAGCCCTCACGGTTGCAGCAGAGGCATCAGCAGTAGTAGTAGTATTAGGCCTTTCCACCTCGTCAGCTCCGCCGCCATTTTTACCGGGACCACCTCCGCCACCGCCATAGCCACCGCCACCGTCATTATCATCATCATCATCAACTGTATTTCTAGGTATTGATGAAGAACGGCGGTGACGATGATGAAGATAATATTGATGATGATAGCCCACCTCGGTGCTGTCGTGGGTAAGATGATTATGGCGATGATCCAACTCCAACTTGATTGTTTCACCCATGATTATTATTATTACCTACTACTTCTGGAAAAGCTCTGCTCCAAGGGACTAGAACCAAGAAATCAATCAGCTAATATAGCCTAAAAGACAACCCCACACTTTGTTTCCAAAACAGGCAAGTCTAAAAAACCCAAGCTTTATAAACTTAAAAGGGACCAAGGATTGATAAAAATTGAAGAAGTTGGTTTTTGGATTTCTGTTGCCTAGATTTCAAACCAAAAAAGAAAGAAACCCTTTTGGTGTGGAAGGTGGAAGAAAGTAAGCATGGGGGAGAAAGAGACAGAGAGAGAGAGAGAGAGAAAGAGGGGAAGAGGAGGATATGGTGGTGATGATGGGAGATTTAGTGATTATCAGAAGGAGCAGTCAATAATTAAAAACAAAATAAAGGGGTAAGAAATGGGAGGGGATATCTGCCGCCATCCTCGGCCTTTGCTTTGCTTCCATGCTTCCAACATTCGCACCGTTGTTGTGAGAGAGGCGACACAACACACACACAACTTTTTCTCTCTCTCTCTCTCTCTCTCTCTCTCATTATAATTGCAATATCTGTCATTTTCTGGGATATGATAAAGCTTGACCACCGTACTCCCTCAGGTCCACCACTATTCTTTCTCCGTATTTTATTCTTCTTCATTTTCCACTCCAAAAATAATACTCCTACTAACATCGGTCTCTCCTCGATTTGTAAAAATCAGCAATGCCTACTCTAAAATTATGATAATTACACTTGTGTCCTACCAAACTCAACAAAGTAGATTATGGAGTTTTGATAGAAATAATATACTCCCTCCGTCCCATAATTATTGTCCAATTTTATTAAAATGAAAGATTTTATTTTTTTGTCAAACTTAACTATATTTTACCTTAAACAACCGGATATACCCCTACATAAGTAATTGTTTAACCACTAAGATTTTGTGGATAATATTTTTTACTAAGGACAAATGTGTAACTTGATCCATAAAAAGTCAAATTGGACAATAATTTTGGGACAAAATTTTTTGGCAATGTAGACAATAATTATGGGACGGAAGGAGTATAAAACTTATTGTTGTACTTTCTTTTAAATTTAACACTTTAAATCGGAGATATTATTCACCAATTACGTTGTAGTATTACACAATTCAGGATGAGTGAGCTAACATTGACAAACATTAGTCAATAAATTCAAAGTAAAATATCCTAAAAACTAAAAATCAGTGCATTTTTTTCCTAGTATACTTTAGACGAGTAACCAAAGCGTGACGACATATACTATTTATTACAAATATGTTTACTATATTGCGTTGTTGATTATCATCGCTAATTTAATTAAAAAAAAATATTCGGAGGATGTAAAAAGTAAAGTCAATGTGATTAGATAGCTCTATTTCTTCTATTTCCATCATTCTGCCTATCCAATGAGGTTTGTATTTATTGTTTTGTTCTGAGGGGCAGGACATTAAATGCAAAAGAGACCAAGATTCAACTCAAATTGATTAGGTTTTGGATGCGGGCACCCATTTTAATACGCCTAGAGCCTAGTGGCCAACTGCCCACCCTCTCCTCTATTTCAGAATTCTCTTCTTTTTCCTTTTTCCTTTTGAGTGTGGATAAAATAAAGGTCGTATAAAGGTAAAACACCAGCTAATAAACGATACAGTACACTTTTCGGATGTGTTAATCCATATTAGCACGACTTATTCCTAGTTGGTGGCCATACTGAAAGTTGATAGTTTACTGCTGTTAATCAATCCGCTACAATATATACTCCTTCCGTCTTATAATTATTATACAGTTTGAGTTTTCATTTCTAATTCAAATTGTACTAAAAGTGAAATTTCAAATTGAACAATAATTTTGAGAAAGAAGAGTAGTACTTATTTAGTGAAGATTTCCTGCATGTCCAATTAATTCAATGAGGATAATTTCATTTCTTCTTTTATTATTTGTATATGTATATTTATTGTATTGTTAATCCAAAATTCGGCAGTTTTGGAAATGTGAAGAAAAGTATGTAAATTTTGTGGATATGATGATGATGATGGTATAAATAATCAACAAGGCAATAAAAAATTCGACGTGACGGAACATTGAAAGTGGGTCTTTTCTGAAATGACAAACGACCCCAAAGTATGTTTGGTGATTTGTTTAATGTCTACTAGTTCTACGTATTCCCCTTTTTCTCTTCCATTTTTTTTGAACAAAATTCTTTAAAGAAGAAATCAAGAAATACCCCTTTTTTTCTCTCTCTTTTCAGGACGCCTCCCAAATAACGCATGGCAAGGCAGATTATCATTGGACCAAATTGACGGTTACCCAAACACCGTAGTTGTGAGTTTTTCTATTGTCCTTAAATTTTAGACTAATAAATGTTGTAGATGCACCCTCTTCTTGTTACCAAAACTAGGTTAATGCATTGGATATAATTAGGGTGATAAACCATTAACCAGAATTCAGGACTCATGATGTCATTAGAGTACGTGACCCGTTCTTGTAATATATTGACCTAAAACTAGTCAATGCCTCGTTGTTTGTACATGAAAAAATAAAACTTGATACCAATATAACTTTAGTTGTTATAAATAACGTAATCAATATAGACGGTGATTGTGTTCTTTTTTTAATATTAAATGTATTCTCAATTTAAGGTAACGGCTCATTATAATTTTCAAAAAGTAGTAGTAATCGAATAGTTCGAGAACAAAAGCACACCCACCCAAAAACATAAGGTAAAAGTCTTCATTCATACGATATTCACTTACTACCTGAAAATTATAATCTTGTTTTGATTTTTAGTTTTTATACAGTATAATACTACTACTTTCGTCCCAACAAATAGTCCATATTGAGTTTTCAAATTTGTACGAAAAGCAGTAAAACTCAAAATTCAATGTGAACTATTTTTGTGGGATGGAGGGATAGATTTGATTAATTTTCATTGATGGGTAAAAATGGAACTTTGAAAAATAAAATGAGTTGTACATTGTTAGATTTGATTAAATTAGAAGAATTGTATTTTTGAAACTGAATTATTTTTGTGAAACGGAGTAAATAATTCAAAATGTAGATTGGATGAGATAATAAATCCAAATACGACATGATACATAATTACATAGGATTTTGACCAGAGGACGATGTCTCAAACAAACGCATTGATGAAAACTAGCCCCACTCATCTGAAGAAAAAAAAGACAGCTGGTTGAATAAGATGTTTGGAGGGGCCGTGTTCTGTTCGCCTCAAATATCAGAAACCATGTACTCCCAGGAAGGATTTGAATAGGAATAAAAGAAGGGGTTGTATTTTTCCAGCCACCTAAATTAGTACTTGAAGCAACCAATTTTGAAAAATTTCCCTTTTGTTCCTGTCACTTGGACCGAACCGGGCAAATTATTCGGTCGAATTCATGCGAGAACAGACAAATTATTAATTTTTATTTTAATGTTAGTTTATTCGCAGTATCGTTACATATTGAATATCTCGTACTTTAAATATTATTAACAATATTTATACTTCAGTGCTTAAACTCTCGATTTTATAATTACTTGAAAATAAACAAGTAATTAGTTTTTACTTGAAAATAAATTTAATATTATTTGTTAAGTTAATTTATTTAAATTGATATTAAAATATAAATTTTACTTTAATCATTATTTTAAAGATAATTTTTAGTTAAAATAATAATTATACATTTATAATGAAAAATAATAATTGTACTACAAAGATTGTGACAAATATGTGCAAATATGTTAACTATTTTTTGTACTACAAAGATTGGTGATACTTAATGTAACTCAAATAATAAATTATTAATAAATTTAATGACCTAAAAACTAGATTAACTAATTACAACAAAAAAATCTAAAAATTAAAAAAAATAGCAATGAATTCGATTGATATTTTTAGTTTTTAGACTTTTTTAAATAACAAATATTGTTATTTTTTAATTACAAAAAAAATTTTTAAAAAAAAACAAAAAATTTAAAAATTTAAAAAAGGGCCTGACCGGTCCGGTTCACTATATCGGACCGAACCGGGACAGGCCGAACAATCCACTTGTCCCGGGTTAACCAGCCCAGGACGGGCAAGGAACGCGTCCTTTTGTTCGTCCGAACGGGTTCATTGCGCATCTCGGGTTAAATCAAGACGCGCAATGAACACGTTCGGGCGAATAAGAGGACGCGTTAGTTGCTCGTCCCCGGTTAACCCGGGACGGGTGGACAGCCCAGTCGGTCAATTTTTATTTTTTTTTTTAATTTTCAATTTTTTTTATTTTCTTTCTAGTCAATTTATTTGATTTAAAAAAATTATAAGAGTAAAATAATCTAATTTTAAAATATATAGATTCAAGTAGTAAAGGTGGTGGCTTTGAAAATAAACATCCTAAAAGAACACAGGGGACACTTCCAAATGAAAGTAAACTTTAATCTCGTAAAAGGGTTGGACTCCATGTTTTGTTGAGTTCACTGTACAAAATGGAGCACACAGCCTTGGTTGCCTTTTTCCGGCCCGTAAGATTACTTACTTCAAAACTCAAATTGGGCCAAAATTATTTGACGTACCAAAGAAATTAGAAAATTATAAAATGGAGATAGAAAAAGAATGGTTAATTCAAATTAGATTAAAATTAATACTTTTTCGTTTCAAAAAAATATTCTAAATGTCGTATTATGTTATTAATAAATTTTTAAAAAATTGGACAGAGAGGAAAACTACTCGATAACTAACTCAAAACATGTAGGCATGTAGCTTGCTTCGCAGAAATGATTATTTATTTTCTCATTTTCATGTCTTCTCTATCATTAAAGCCTTTCTTTGATCCTAATCTTCTTTTAATTATTTTTCTGACGTACAAATCTGCTTGACATATTTCCGAAATCTCCCAGGTGCAACATTTTAGACTCTCAGTCTCGCATAAATCCATTGTACTTAATTAAAGTAAATTACAGGAAGGACACATGTCCGCTTTACGTTAAAAATTTTCCCGTCAAAATTCTTTTTTAGTATAAAATGAAAAATG